CAATATGGGCTGCAATACTCATCACCAGTAATATAGTATATTGTGTAAAATTTCACCCTTCTCTGTGTTGAACCATTCTAGTCCCACCCCTTCCTATTTTCATCACAGTGGTTGGGCCTGACTCTGGCTTGCAGTATTTTTGTGCTGGTTCTCATAATAATAATCCTTGCATTTGATATAGCTCTTTATCATGTCTTCTAGACGTCTCAAAGCACTTCACAGAATATACTGTAAAGTGAATTGACTGTACGTTTTGTGGGCGAAACGCGGCAGCCAATTGCGCACAGCATTGTCTCTCAAACAGTTGTGGACTAAGTGACCACATTTTTTTTAAGGGATTATTACCCTGGAAAAGCGATCCTCCAATCGACTAACAAGCAGGTTCCTACTTACTACTGGGTAAACAGAGGCATGTGGAGTAAGGAAACTTGGCCAACATTTCGCCCTGCCTGGAATCAAACCCAGGTCCTCTCATTTGCGAGGTGAGTGCTCTAACCACTGAGCTACAGGAATACCAATTTAACTCAGATGGAGATTAATCAATGAATCAGTGAAGCAACAATTGAATGTATTTTGATTCTTGCTCTTATCCCTCTACTATTGCAACTTAATACCTTACTTTTCTGAATTTCCACAAAATACAAAGAACAATTACTTATTAGTAAATTAGTTGCAGACTAGTGTCTATGTCGCAAGATTTTGAAGCAGGTTCACTTAGGACTGAACTGACTTAATGAGACACATCAGAACAACAGCAAAATTTATATTGATATAGCTCATTTGATGTCAGGAGATCATCCCAGTAAAGCCACACAGATCTACAGTGATATAAGGATTTTTTTTTAAAAAAAAGTAATTGGGAGTGCGCCCAGCTTCATAGAATAATGCCACTGAAGCAAATCTTGCAATAATCTAAAAACATGTTTTTTTCCATCGAGATTTTGAGAAATTATTAAATGTAATTGAATAAACCCCATTTAAAGTACCGTAAAATATTGTCCGTTAAAGCTTTGTAGGGTGGGTCTCGGTAAAATGATCTGTGTGGGTATCAATTTCTCCAATCTTATTTTGGAAAACTAAAGTCAGCTGAAAATGCATGCAACTCTACATCAGACAAGGGTAAACAGTTGGATTACATATACTTTAACCCAAGGGAAAATACAGCATAAATGCTAGATTACAAATAGAAGGACGTTCAATGCTTCCACTGAATCATGTGTGAAGTATCCTGCTCAAGCTACGTAAACATTCTTCGTGAATTCTGGGCATACCATTCCATAGATGGATCTCAATAAGATGTATTTGAAACAAAAATGACAAGTGATGGGTGGAGCAGAGGGTGGATATGGTGAATGTCCCTTGTCCCCTCTGCTCCACCATTGGCAGCCGTGCTTTCTACCGCCATGCCTGGAGACTCTGGAACTCTCTGCCTCAATGCCTCCCCCTTGCCCTCTCTTTGTCTGTCTTCAGATCACACCTGAAGACCTTCCTCTTCGATTGTGTATGGTGGCCGCCCCTTTCTCCCTCATTCAGCATCAAGCTGTGCCGATGTTAAGCGCTCCAAGATACTATCCAGTATTTAGGGCACTATTTACATTTGCTTTTGTTGTTTTAGGTCTTTTTAAAGAGGATTGAGGGATGACTACTCCGGATTTAAAACAATGAAGCATTTATAAAATTGAGTTGTTGATTCATTGTTCTACCTTGTAGAAAATTTAAGAACTAAGTAAAAGCACATTGCCTCAAAGTAAAGAACAATATGTGTTTTTGATAAAGCAAATAGTTCCTGGAAAGTAAAAGATTCAAGGTTATTAGATGATGAGATAGATGTGTTGAAATAATAATAATAATCCTTTCATTTGATATAGCACCATTCACATCGGGAGGACGTTGTACAGCACTTTACATGAGATACTGTAAAGTGTCTGTATTTTGAAGGCAAACGTGACAACCACTATGTGCACAGCAATGTCCCACTAATAGTGATCAAGTGAATAACTGATTCTATCTAGAGGATTGTTGCCCAGGATACCAAGAAAAGCTCTCTTCCATTTTTAAACAGCGCTATGGAGACTTTAACGTCCACTTGAATAGGCAGACAAGGCCTCGGTTTAATGTCTCATCCACAGATGGCACCTCAAACAACACCTGCTGCACTGCATGGGAATGTCAGAATAGACTGTATAAATTCAAAGTCCCGATGTAAGGGCAACCTTTTAACTCAGAGGCAAATGTGCTACCAACTGAGCCAGGCTGTCACCTGACATACTGAGATACTGAATGGACCAGTGATCCACTCCTGCCTGGCAGTGTTATGAAACATACCAAGAAATAAAAGACAGCAGAGAAAAACAGTAACCAAATATAGTATGGTGTCATACAGGATCAATTACATTAATGTGAATATTACATTTGTTTGTTTCTGCTGGGCAGGGCTTTTAATAGGACACATTCCTTTAGTTAGTCACTTGGGTTTCTGTTTGGCCCTATCTTGGTACTTAGTGGTTTGTTAGAAATAACTAAAAACTAGAATGATCAGTTATGCTTCACTTAGGTAAATAATTATTTTAAAAAAAACAATCTGGTTTATACAAGGGATACTTCAGTCAGAAAGAAAGAGTTGGAGATATAGTGAACAAAGTTATGAACAATAGTAAACAGGAGGGTAGCAGGGTAGTTTCTTGAAATGTTTAACAACACATGGCTTGATGCTGAGCCGGAAAGGAGAGGGGGAAGGGGGAAATGCCCGAAGGCATGGTCGAAGAGTATAATCTTTAGGTGCGATTTGAAGATAGGCAAAGAGGGGATAAGATGGAGGTTTTGAGGGAGTTCCAAAGATTTGGGGCATGGAGGCTGAAAGCAAGGCCGCCAATACTGGAGCAGAAGGGACAAGGTACATGCGGAAGGCAATGACAACTGAGCAAGGACACTGAGTATAGGAGTGGGATGTGAGCAGATTGGAGAGGTAAGGAGGTGCAGGGTGTGAATAGATTTGAAAGCGAACAAGGATCTTGAAGGAAGAGAAGGTTAAGGAGTTCAGAACCGCAGGTGAGAAGGTATTTATGGGAGTCAAGAATTTGTATGTGTGAATTGTTTCATTTTGTAATCCAGGCATTCCCCTTTTTCAATCCTTTCTGTAATACAATCACCAAACCAGAATACTGGTGAATAAACTAAAATTTCAAAACTTATCAGAAATTGAACTGCAGTACACTTGAAAATGTACTGAAAGAAAATCGAAACCAGCATTGTAAACTACTTACACCTTATATCTGCTGGAAAGAACACTTTCCTCAATATTAACCTAGAGGATTATCAGCTTTCTCCCTCCCCTTTCTCCACACAAATAGTAGCAGTTTGATGATGGTCTTTTTTTATAAAAAAGATAAAATGTTGGCAAGTATATGCTTGAATGATCACGTCTGTACTTGTGAATTGTTTCACTTTGTAATCCAGGCATTTTGTTTTTCAACCCTTTCTCTTATATGATCACCAAAGCAGAAGCTTTGAAGGATGCTTTTCAGCCTAAAATGAATAGTCAATAAGCAATTAGTACAAAGCCCTTGTGTTATTTGAAATGACTTTTCAGTGTCTCAAGGAACTAGAAGCGAAAAGGATAAGGTTTCTGCTAGAAGATTAAATGGCGACTTTCAGTTTTAGTGTTTGAAGGACCTCACAAAGATGCATCAACATCTTTGGCAAATTGTGTGACAGATTGGAAATATCCTCTTATTTTTCTCAATGAGCAAGGTGTGGTGGACTCCAAACTGTCAAACAGAACATCTAATACCTTATTTTGATTTACAATTTACATCCACTACAGACTTTTAATTAATTTTCTTTCAAGAAAATAGGACAGGAATTGGGGACTGATATCTTCAGCATGATATATCCAGATGTGTAAAACACACATTTATACAAATATTTTGTGATTTTATCCAGACAATGCAAAAATCTTGTAAATGACCATTTAAAAAGGTTTTTTTATTAAAATTAGATAATTAGGTTTGCGAGTGGGATTGACTTGGATAGCTCTTTTCAGAGATGGCATAGACATGATGGGCCAAATGGCCTCATTCTGTGCTGTATAATTCTATAATTAATGGGAAGAATTTTGATGTGTACTATTATGCATTTTAATGATTAACTTCAATCACCTGTTAACTCAGTAAATTAAATACTTTTGCAATAATTTTTAACATAGTGCTTTTAACCGAACTGAGAAAGAAGTTCTGTGGCAAAGGTGAACATCAATGTTGTGCACTAGAGTAGGGAATCCTAGGCTTTATAAATGGGAATATAAAATCAACAAAGTTGATGCTTAACTTGTATAAATTATTAGGTATGCTGTGTGAAAATATGGTAGCCATTTAGGAATCCTCACTTTAGGAAGGGTATCAGGACTGCAGAGAAAATGCTTTGAGACGTCTCAATGACGTGATAAGGTGCTATATCAAATGCAAGGATTATTATTATTACATGTTGGACACAATTTTTAAAAAAATAACCTATTAACCGTACAATGAAAACCAATCAACTGTATAAACAAGACATAGATAAAGTCAATGTCCTTCTGTTATAACGTAATGAATAGTTTGAAGAACAGATTAACAAAGAAAACCAATTTAAACTTTGATCAAATCCTACAACACTTAGAACTTTATCAAAGTTCACTTATCCAAGTGCAAATCTGTGGAAGCGACTAGTGAGTTTGATCACGTGTAATTATCACTTCTTCATTTGAACATGATCATCACTCATCGATTATCTTCTCAACTGTGAATCACAACACGATAACCCCAACCGCTCTCTAATTGAAATACTTGACCTCCCCTCCCACCACAAAACTAAATTTCAGTTTCAGTCCCATTACATTTTTCTATAAGTCAAAATTATTCTTCACTGTAATGAAAATTAAGGCTCTATACAAAGATGTTCTTGACAATAACAAGTCATGAGAAAACTCATGGGGAATTAAATATCATTCTATTTTTGCTTACCTGCCAGATCTCTTCCTCACTCAGCGATGTGAGACGGTCACTCTTTAAGACTTCTCGTAGGAGCCGATAGGGAAGTGCCATGACCTCCTCAGGGTGGTTCTTCAGCAGATCAGAAAGGTGTTTGACCAAGAAGTTAACCACTGCCTCCTCAAGCAGTGTAAGGTTAAAGAGGTCAGCAAGTTTGTACAGGTCCAGATAATTGAAACTAGTCAGTTCCTAAGGTGAGAAAATAAATGTTCATTATTACATATCTTATATGATCATACATGCCTGCTGTGATCTATTGTACATCATTGGGCAAGTTCCCCCTAGAAAAGTGACCCTCCAATCGAATAACAACCGGGTTCCTACGTCTTACATACAAAGGTGTGTGGAGTAAGGAAATTTGCATAAAGTTTTGCCCGGCCCGGGAATCAAATCCAGGTCTCTCGCATTTGAGGTGAATGCTTTAACCACTGAGCTACAGGACTCCACAAATCATATACCAAATGCAAGGATTATTATTATCATTGTTTGGTAATTCTGGGATTATGGATATGACAAAGTGGTTTGTTACCCTTTTGTGAAAGTCACACCACTAAATGAGTGAAATTCTCTACATACAACATACATACATGCCAGTATATGTCTGCAATTCGTCACAATAAAACAAGTGGGATGTAAAGGGATAGAACACAAATCATAGAAAGTAAAACTGAACTTTTACAAGGTCCTAGCCCAACCTCCTGCACTTCATTAAGGGTATCTCGACATTGGGTGCAATAAAGGACACCTAGATTGATTCCTGCAATTAGGACACCAGAGTTATGAACAGAAGGAAACCTGGATTGCTCAGACTAAAGTTAAGCTTCAGGAGAGATCTTAATGTGTACAGGAGAATGGGGAAAGAGCAGGTAAATGGAATTGAAAGGATTACTCTTAAACGAGCCAACATAGACATCATGGGCTGAACATTATCTGAACCCTGAAATTAGATTATAGTCTTGTTTCTCAGCATCTTAGCATAATGGTCACATCATTAGTATAATACAATTCTTGGACAGTACGATTTTGCTGCAGAGACCGTGCTAATGAAGGGCAGCATAGGAGTACATTTTGCAGCAACAAAAACTCTTACACCTAAACAACATTCAGCAGGGATTCGTGACAAAACAATGAAGATAATTGTTGCTCAGAAAAAAAAGATTCAAGGTTATCTAAAGAGAAAGAGAGTTACGCCTAGTCAGTTTCCAGAAGTTCAATTACAATTTTGTGCAAGGGTGAACATTAGAATTTGTTGGAAGTTTTCTCAAAATCTTAACCTTCTGATCCACAGGTGAGAGTGCTGCAAATGTGCTAGTATGCTGGTTAATGACATGACAAAACATGAAGCAAATTTTAATTTCACATGAGTCACGTTGCAGGTCAAAGTGCAATTAAAAAAAAGTTATTAAACAAGCTGAAGATCATTTTATTCTTTTTTAAATTAGAAGCACCACTACTTACAGAAAAGCTTCCTGTAACATAGATAGTCTGTATAATAAATGACGCAACATGCATTTTATAAAGCCAGTAGTCCGGCCTCTCAGCACAGTATAAGCTTTAAGCATGGTTCACAGAGATAGCTTTACAGGGAGAATCCAATATACCAACATCTGAGGGTATTTGAAGCAATTTATTCACCATTTAACTTCTCCCTTTTGAATTTTACTATATTAAACATTTAATCATAGCTTTAGTCCAGCGTTTATCCAACCAAACTGGGGCACTTAGCCACAGTGAGGTCCTTTGATTGATTCTGTTCTGTATGCATCTCCAGTGAATAGGATTCTGGCTCTTTCCAACTCAAGAATGTAATGCCTGCTCTGTGAACATTAATCACCTGCACTTAATGGGACTCAGAATTTATCATATAATTCATGCAATACCATGCATCGTGGAATAGCAAACAATGAAAATAATGGTCAAATTTCCTTCAGTGGAAAAAAGCAGACGATAAAAAAATCTCATTGCCTAGAAGCCCATAGCAGCTGTAGAGTGCCACTGGACAATTAAATGGCAATTTACAAATAGTGTCTGGAAAACAGCCTTCTGGATTGGGTCATTTTGCTTTGACTGTTCCTGTTCCAAGGATCAGAACACTCTGCATTGCTTCAAGGATGAATGCACCGTGCTGGGCAAGTTAGTTTTATTAACCCTTTGGGGCTTGATTTTTTTTTACACAGTCAGTTCTTTATGATGATTCTGTGCAACATTTATGGGTTGGGTTAACAACCCATGTGCAACATTTATGAGTTGAGCTAACCATGTTATTAACAGTGACAAGCCGGCAAGATATTGACAGGTTAAAAGATTGGGCAGATTTGTGGAAAGTGGAATTTAATAGAGAAAAGGTTTGCAAGGATGATACCAGCAATGAAAGAATATAGCTTTGAGGAGAAGCTAGAGAATTTAGCAGTCTTTCTATTGGAGCAGAGAAGGTTGGGAGATGGTATGATCGAGATGTTTAAGATAATGAAATGGTTTGAACGGAATAATCATGAAAAATCAATTTCCACCAGTAGGGGACTCAAGGACAAGAGGGCACAGCTTTCATGATTGCGACTTGAGAAGTAAAAGGAGAGTTTTGGAAGATGTGGAGTCATTTACCATGGGAAGGGGATTGTTGGAGTTGAATCGACTGGGACATTTAAAAAAAAATTGGTCAAGCAAATATAGAAGAAGGGTTTTAGAGGTGACGGAGCAGGAGCAAGGAACTGTGTTGTACACGTCTATGGTTTTATGTGTAAACACACATATCCAGAGGCAATTACAGGTGTATTTAAATATGCAACTAACCAAAAAACCATCAAGGAATCCTTTACATTGGTTAATTACAAAATGAAGAACATCTACAATTCCCTCTGGACATATGTTTGCACATAGTTAGCACACCCCACGATTTATTTTTGTTATAGTATTCTTCAAATGATCCAATCACCTGTAATCCTTTTCATTAATTACATAATTAAGGACATTTATATGGGTCTGAATATGGTTAAGCTTTGGGCTAGATCTCATTACTTACATACTGTTATTTTTCCTGATAATTAATTACAGATTATCACTTTTTTTGTTCCACTGGGTGTCTGACACACACGGAAGCCAATTGCCGTGCTGAAGCATCCAAATCAAACTACTATGAGTTCCACACAATAATACTAGATTATGTACATTGCACATTTGTACAGAAGCTGTACGATACAATGGTTATGCCTTCAGATATTATGCACTGACTTTACAGAACATGCTGGTCATGAGAAACTACAGATAAAGCAAATACATAACAAAACCATGTGAATGCTAGTCAAACAATAGTAATCAATAATAAATAAATAATCCTTGCATTTGATATAGCACTTTTTAAGGCTTCTAGACATCTTAAAGCGCTTCACAGAATAGACTGTAAAGTGAATTGTCTATATATTTGTGAGCAAAATACGGCAGCCAATTGCACACAGCAGTGTCCCACAAACAGTTGTGGATTGAAGTGACCAATTTATTACTGGTTTTTTTCTTGAGGGATTATTATCAGGCGTGTGGAAAATGGAAATTTGCCCAAGGTTTTGCCCTGCCGGGAATCGAACTCAGGATTTCTTGCTTCTGAGGCAAGTGCTCTAACCACTGAGATACAGGACTCCACACTGGACTACAATGCAAAGAAATGAAAATAAAACACCACCGGAAAGATTACAGATTTATGAGGCTTAATGCATGGCTTTAACTCTGATCCCAAATGCAGCAATTTTAATTCTTATAACTTTTATTGAGAGTTTGTAAATATAATTTTCCCAATATTAAGTGACTTCTGGAAAATTGAAAAATTGCAATAGCTTGTTCACTGTTTTCACCTTACCCAGCCCTATTGCATTTGCTTCTCTGGCTTTTTACTTAAACTATTATATTCAGCTTTCACACACCCCTAATGAATTTGCTTATACTAATCTGCAAGATTTCATAAATTTGGCATAAATGGCACATAAATTTGAGTTTCATACATGAATCCCTGACTATATCAACCAGGATATTTTATTTTTTTAAAAAGTCTTTTATCTTACAGATGCAGAGATTTTTTTTGCAGAGTTACAAGGAGTCTGGAGCTCCACAGGCGAGATAACTGCTAATCTGATACAAAACAGTTGGAAATCCTGAAAATTGGTGTATTCCTCACATGCAGATGACAGCTAAGAAGCATTTGAGCGATCAACACTCAAAGTATCCTGATCTGTTCCTGAGATGCTCGCTGATGATGTTCCTATGCCTAGCATCATCTAAGCAGTTCTCTTCCTGGAATGGCCATCTTCACACAGGGGGAATGCACCTCAAGGAAAAACATTATAAATATTTCCTGCAATGCAGTTTGCAGATTAGTTTAAATTGAGGAACTTTCTCTTTTTACTCCCCACCCACCACTCGCAAACTTTTACAAACAGACAAACTTAATATTGTCCAGGCAACAAGTAAATAGTCTCAACGCAGATTGGGTCAGGATGAAGCAAATTGACATTTCACTGCTGTTATGCTATAGTTAAAGTATATCTGTGTTACATACTGTATGATTGATACTCTCAGTTTGCCAGTCAAAACCTCATGTGACTTATGCATCACATTTCACAGCATGTAAATTACTATATATATATATGTTATATATAATACACACAAATGGTGCTTGTTTCTTTATCACTCAAGTTCTGGGGTCATTGCTTGCTTATAGGATAATATTTGTAACCCAGTGATCATCACTAGGACTTCTCACTGTATTCATTAGCTGTCTTTAAAAATGTAAGGCAGCTGCAGGGCAATACAGGAAGAGGAGCCACTGTGTATCCTGCAGCAGACACCTCTTTCAGATCACGTTCACAACATAAAAGTACTAAACTAATGGTTCTTAATGACAAATTAATGCTTGTGAATTAAAAATACACTTATAATGGGGGAAGAGTAATTTACTATTACAATATCATCATTGGACATGCTCCTTGTTTAATAAGATGTATTCAATTCCGAACCTAATGACTGAAATATGAAAGAAAGGAGATGAACCTTGCAATTTCTCTTGCAAGTCTGTCACCTTATTTGAAAGCCTAAGGATAATTTACATTTGAATGATAAGAAATGACCAAATTTACAATGCACTGCAATAAATGATTGTTTATGCTAAACAGTGTGCATTTATAATAATAATCCTTGAACTTGTT